AAACGAGGGTATGAAGACATTCAATTCGAAATTTTATTAATAAAAAATTGTGTAGATCACCGGAAATTTTTCGGAAATAAACTTGCCCCTTGATTTTTAGGACATGTCACATGACTAATACATGTAAATCATTTCCGATTTATATGTTCATTTTCCGTGATCTATAATTTACTATTTTACAATGTACTATGCCAAAGGTCTATCATTAATGTTCAGGGTTAGTAACATGAATAAATTTTTTTACAATTATTATTATAATAATATTAATAACTATAAATTACTTGTAAACTATTTTATATTAAAGGATCATTATTCTCCTTCTTCCACAAACTTTAAAAATAAAAAATAAATAAATAAATAAATGTCGTAAGGTGAGATATAAAATTTAACGCGTTTCTTTGTATTTGTAAACTTTTTTTTTTTCGTCACAAATGAACAAAAACATTCCATATGGTGTTGTCATTCAGAATTCTTTTTAGTCTGTGTAACATTCCTTGTTTGAAACTTGTTCATTCATTGTCCGTCGCAAAAAAAAATTATTTTCCAAAGAGTTTTCCAAAAAGTTTATAACGTAATCACAAATAAATGCTAGTAAACTCAATCGTTATAAGTATTATTGTAGGAAAGGAAAATCCTTTATTTATAATCCTTTATTAGCATTATGTATAACGTTAGTTAATTTATAAAAAGTGTAACATTAAAAATGTATATAAATAATATATTTTGCAGATAAGATTTTATCCAAAAAAAAATTTAATTTATTTGTTCGAAGAAAAGAATTCATCATGGATATAGTCGGACTTTGTTTCCCATTAATTGGCATAGCTACAAAACTTGCAAGAGATGCTTATAAAGCTTCTGAAGAAGCACGTTATACCAAGAAAATATGTCTATCGTTATCTGATAGACTGGAAGCAGGATCACGTGCTTTGGAAGATTTATATAGACATCGAGAAGAAAATATTGATGTATTTGTAAACAATGAATTCTTTAAAAATCTTCAACGTTATGTAAATGCAGCAACGGAAATTAAAAGATTTATTGACGAGATCTCAGAATTAAGTGGAGCAATGAAATATATTAATGCAAAATCTCGTAAAGAAAAGGTTGAACAGCTTATCACAAGGTATGATAGAATTATCCTTGATTTAAATTTGGATGTAAATACCAAAAGTTTCAAGAAAATTTCAGAAGTACAAAGTTTAATAGAAAAAGAATTTGAAAAAATGTCTTCGGTAAATATAAATAATCTGTATATTGTTTTGTATAATATTTATTATTCATTCTAAATCATCATCAAACACTACATACAATATAGGCTGTAGAAACAATGGCAGCTAGCTTGACGACTCAAGAAAGAGATATTAAGATTATAATGGACACTTTATCGTCAATGAGGAGTGCTAATAATAATCCAACACCTGAAATCAAAAAAATCAGATCTGATAGATTAACAGACCCAGATCCATCAAGTCAACCCATAAAACGTGGAAAAGTTTTTAAAAAAGTATTGAATAGGGCTCAAGAAGTAGCATGTAAACCATTTACAGATGAAGAACATGAAGAAGAAGATTTTCGTACCTATTTAGCAATTTTAGGGAAATTAGACTCATCAAGCTGTATAATAAAGTTTCATGGTATAGCATTTGCTGATGGACATAGAGTAATGGTGTTTGATTGGGCTAATATGGGCAATTTAAAAGATATTTATGAAAAATTTAAAATTACTTGGGAACAAAAATTAAAAATTGTTTACGATGTTTGTTCTGGACTTACATTCTTACATGCGTGTACAATTTATCATCATGACGTTAGGTGTGAAAATATTTTGGTGAGTAATAAAATAATAATAAATAACAATAATAATAGCATATTAATGAATGAATTAATTATTTATTTGTTTATTTATTAATAAATTATTGATAATAGCTTATGGGTAATCTTGAGACAGCGAAAATTGCAAATTTTACTCTAAGTAGAGATTATGAAACTAAAAGTAGACGAATTGTATCAGTAAATGAACTTATACCCTGGATGGCTCCCGAGAAACTGAAGGATCTTGTGAAGACTAGATATACATTAAAATGTGAAATCTTTAGGTGAATAAATAACAAAGTACATCTAATTTTATTTATTTATTAATCGAGTACTGATCGCTGACTTTGGTTTTAAATCATTTTAGTTTTGGTATGTTTGTTTGGGAATTATCATTTAATCAGGTTCCATATCTTAGAAAATTTGAGAATGATTGTGTAAAAATTTCTCAACACGTTAGGAATGGCAAACGAGAAGATTTAAAAAAATACAATCACTTTCATGATATTCAACGATGTTTCAAAAGCATAGTGTCAAACGGTTTGTTATAATTTAATTATTTTTACTATCAATAAATAATTATATTTATTAAATCGTTCCTTTAAAATAGCCTGGCTTCAAGAACCTACACTTCGTCCAGATATGCACACTTTTCTTACACAATTGGCTAATTTACACAAACTTTATTGTTCACCAAGAATTATACCACATGATAAAAGCCAAAATTCCAATAATACTGGTGATGATATTGTTGATCCCGATCTTGATATTGATCTAGATACATTGTCTTTAGCGGATACTGCAGTAAGGTTAACATTAGATGAAGGTATAAGACTTCACAAAGATCAAAGTGAAAGCTCAAGAAGATTTGCATGGCAATGCTTCAAATATCATGCTGATGTATTGGACGATCCTAGAGCAAAATATTGGAAAGGGTATTATTTATTGGAGGGATATGGTGGAGTTGAGAAAGATGAGGAAGAAGCATCCAAATGTTTCAAGGAAGCTGCAGACCAAGATATTGCTGATGCTCAAGTTCGTTATGCATTCACTATTGTAACTAAAGCTAAAGATGATCCTTTAATGGCTACTGAATTTATGAAATACTTGGAAAAAGCTGCATTTCATGAAAATCCGACTGCTTTATACAACTTGGGAAGCATCTATTATGAAGGCAAATTGAATTTACAAGTAGATCATAAACTAGGAATAAAATTTTATAAGAAAGCAGCATTAAAAGGTCATGATAAATCAATTCAAAGATTAAGTAGTTTAAAAATAAGTGTTTATGATGATTAAAATTGTTAATATTATTCTTTGAACTTATTCTGTATTAATTTATTTTTAGTAATTTGTATTTTATTTATTTATTTATTTATTTGTTGATTTTAACGTTATATGACAATAAATTAAAAAAAAAAAATCAAATTTAAGTGTGCGAGTTGTGTGGATTGAACACACGGCCTTCAGATCTTCAGTCTGACGCTCTCCCAACTGAGCTAAACTCGCAAATCACAAGAATTTGATAAATTATTTTAGAAACTTGGAAAATTTTGTTACTTAATCAAATAATCCATTTATTGTTTTATATTTAATTAAATCCATAAATTAAAACAAAATTTTGTTGCCTATTTTAGTAATTTGGATAATTTTATAAATTTCTATGTCACGTGAATCCACTGTAGTAAGATTAGTAGTCATATAGAAGGTTCCCAATCAAAAATCCGTTAACACTGTGGCACGAATTTATTAATAAAATCCGCCGTGACAAATATTTTTAATTAGTATTAGTAAAAAAAGGGGACAAATTTTAAATCCGTTGTAACAAGAAATCCGCTGTGGCGAGGTCCGCTGTGACGAGGTTTGACTGTAATTATTATTTGCGAAAATTTTCAAAAATAAAATCTTACTATCCAATTAATTGGCTAGTTAGTATTCATTTTTTTTTTTGTGATGTTTTCATAATGTTCCAATACATGATAGGATTATTTACCTTGTTTCAATATCAATGGAAAAAAAAAACAAGGAGGGAGATTATAAAATTGTTAAATCATAATAATAGTTACATTACTAAAGTTTGAGCCCTGAAATTCTTGGTAATACCAATGTTCACTTTGTCTGGTTTTGTTGCAGCATGCCCTATATAATTTATTACCTTGAGGTATTCTTGTACCAGAAATTCATTATGTTTATTTGCTACAGATTGGTAAGGAAAGAAAGATAAAGGTGATAAAAATGTAGATGATTATGATTATGATCATGATGTAGGTGATGATGATAAAATGACAATTGCTTGGAGATATAAAGGACTAAAAAAAGTTGAATTTAACATAAAAAATAGTTTAAATAAGAGAGGTTAGCATATTCATATTTTTATAAATTCTTATAACCATTTATTTATTTCCTTCTCTCTCTCACACACACAAAAATAATCTTTTTTTAGTTCATGTTTCAATTAATTTATAAAATAAAGAGGCTTCAAATATTTTAAATCTCAATTATTAACAACAACTTCTTCTTCAACATCTTCTTCAACATTAAATAAAAAAGAAACCCTTATTTGATCTCACTAAAGTAATATCAAATTCAATATTAGAGAGTTCTTCAAAGCTAATTATATTGATTGATGGCACTAACTGGACTAATCAAGAAAATATTGTTAAAGATAATGTTGATGGTGAAAATCAGTATGAAGCAATTTTGATTAAATTGCAAAAAATTATAAGGAGAATAATTCATGTCTCTAAATAATTATATATTATATATTATCAGATTTTCTTATATTAATTTATCTTTTTTGATAAAAAGGAACATCCTTAGAATAGGAATACATTCTACTGCATCACATTTTGAAAGCTAGAAATTCTAATGTAATAAAAAAGAATTCTTTTTTGCTTGAACTTTTTTATCAAAAAACCCCATTCATATATTTATAAACATATTATTATTAGGATATTTTTAGATTTTTGCATGCACTAAGAGGATTGATTAGAAATACATATAGTTCAGCAATCATCACGATACCAGCATATCTATATGAACCAATAAATGCATCGTTTGTAAGAAAAATTGAACATATTTGTGATGCAGTTATAGAAATTGAATCATTTGTAAGTAGGTAGCATTATATTGTATATAATAATAATACATTCACCCGTCCACATCATGTTATATATTCTTATTTATTATATTTACATTTTCATTGCTGTTGTATATTAGGATAATTATCAAAATCCAGTTTGGTTTATTCAAACATCATTTAATGGTTTATTTCATATTCATAAATTACCAACAATAAAATTTTCTGGTTCCATCAACCATGGAGCTGTCTATATTATCAGGTGGTGGTGGTGGTAATAATGGCAGAGTGGTATAAATAATAATTTAGATTTAAATTAAGACGTAAAAGATTTTCAATTGAAGTGTTTCATTTACCTCCTGAAGGTGATATCAAAGAAACAAAACCCAATAATGATAATCCAGCAATTAATGAGCAGAAAAATTTTGGTAAAAAAAATATTTTATTAAATTAATTAAATTGATTGATTTGATTAATATTACTACTATTACTATTATAAATTCAAAGGAAGAGGAGGATGATTGTAAATGAAATTTTGTATGTTATTATTATTAGTAGTAAAAGTAGTATTAACGTCATTATTGGTTCCTTTTATAACAGGTAAAACTTTTTTTGTATTTCCAGATAATTCAGGATCATATTAATGTTGGTGAGAATGATAAGAAGTTGCTGTTGTTTTTGCTAAAGGCGCAGTTGTAGAATCTTTGTTGATATTATTATTATTATTTAGTTGAATAACTTCCTAGCATCAATTTATCCAAACTTATTTCTTCAAAAGGTGTACCAGGCACTGATGTTGGAGGTGTACTATGAGGAGAAAGAGTTGGTGATTTAACAAAACGTAAAAGTGATTTAAGTGTTGTTGCAGTTGCAATTGTTGCATTTGTTGCATTTTTGTTATTAATGAGGTCGTCCAAAGATTTATTAACTGATAGTTTTTTAACTTCACCCTTTTCATTGTTAATAATAATGCTAGTAGGATTATTATCAATGCTGTTGCTACTACTAACATTAAGAATAATTCCTTTATTTTTAGATTTTTGAATCATGTCATTTTTTTCTCTTAGACTAGCTGTGTCATGGTGTATTCCAAATATAGTTTCCATTTTATTTTATTTAATCAGAGATTAATTTTTTGGTTAAATATGTTGGATTAAAAAAAAAATTTTTATTATTATTAATATTAATAATGCCTGTAAACAATAATATACTTCGGAAAATTGTACGTTTACGTAATATTAGTCCATATGCCCCACCTCAGTTACATCCCACAAAAATGTGAGGGTGGGAAAATGATAATGATCTGATCACTGTAAGATTATTCCATTCTATTTTCATTTTTTCACACAATGTATGAGCATCTTTTTCTGAGATTGTTGCACTAACCATCATTATTGAAGAATTAGGAAAATCTTTTGAGTATCTCTGCAATACCATTCCAAGCATTACGAAAATATTGGTGTTCCAATACACAATGAGATTCATCAATGACAAATTGAACTCTTGAAGTCACTGATATCCTTTTTAACATGTTTTGAAA